CGCCATGTTTCCTTCGGTAGACGCCTTTTAAAAAGGGAATACTCACTTGTAAAGAAATTGTTTCTTGAGAATCTCAATCATATGGACTGCAGCATCTGTGACAACCGCGATATAAATTCGCACGGAAAATCTCGGCGAGAGAGAACACGACTGTATTAAAGGCAAGTCTCTAGTTTTATCCCACTGATGTAAGTTTGAGAACAGGTGTCTCCAGTTCAAACCGCTAAATTCTGATGTTTAAAGTTTGTTCGTAATTGTGTCCTGGCCTTTTACGCAAAACAGACTTTGTTAATGAAATGGAGAACCTCGAACACATAGAAATCCCAATTTTGATCGTGATTGGTTCATTGCGATTACTGAACTTCAACTTTGAGCACTTTTTTGAATTCTCAGTTTCAGCATATGCAAGTGCGCACCACTTGATTTCCATCCTTTCTGAAGGACAACCTCAGCGAGACATTTTTAGCGAAGTTTGTGCAGTCACAGCAGCTGCGCAATCCCTCTACGCCTGGTTTTGACTACTGTTCCAAGTCGATGACCAGTTGGGATCTATAATACAGTGAGAACACGAGCACGAGAGCGCATTTCGCAGCAACAGCACTTGGCTGACTATAGCACTAAGACATTAACCAGTCTAGCAGGTGGCTCGATTGTGTGATATTCCGTACTACTTCAGATACTCTTAAATAAGACGATTCAGTTGAAAAACACTTTCACCATCGAAGAGATATAACCAATTTCATACAAGAAAGAGCATATTATGAAAGATAAACAAGAGAAAAAGGACCATAAAAGTGATTTCCAACATAAACATACCGTAGTATTCGCACTTGACACAAGTTTTTCCAACCAGCCATATAAATAACCATCTTCACCAATAGATTTCTGAGCTTCAAATATTCTGCCACAGCTGAGTAGACGTGTCATAGCTAAGGCCGCCTTTTGCTCCAAGTATGAACCAACCTTAATGAAAAAGATTAAATAAACAGCGATGCATAGAACAGCAACATGAAAACATACATCATTTTCCCTATTCTTTTTATCTGCTGTTATCGTTCTGCTGCACCAGCCGATGAATAGATAAAATAGGCTTTGCTTCTTTTCATCCGGAATGAGACTGCCACGATTTTCTGGAACAACATTATCAATGATCACAGCAATAAGTTTGGAATAGTGTAGCCGCATCATCGTCACCACTGCTATGTCACGATCCTGATATAATCTTGCTTGTTATCAAGGACTACATTTCAACGTAAAAACTGCATACCAGATCGCTTTCGAGTTTTCTCTCATCGAGTCGATGAAATCGAGTATGAGTGGACTCAGACTGCCCAAACTATCTATCATTGCGGAATCCAATAATTCACGGAATACAGCCACCTGATAAGGTATCGATATTGAAGGGTACGAAAAAGTTTGGATATACCTTCCAAATACCGCTAAATCCACTGCACCTAAAAAAGCAAGCTTTCTGACTGAAATGGGAAGAAAACTTCATTTGGACTTTACTCGAATTATATACTTTCGAAAATTGTTGTTGTTTCGAAAATCCAGAATTAATCACAAAAACTACTCCATCAGTAGTCAACGATACCTCAGCAAGTCGAAAAGAGCCAAACACTGAAAGTGATTGAGTGCATCCGCACGAAAATTTGAAACATAATCCTGAAAACGAGGAACTTACAACAACATAAACGCCAACGCGACGAAAAGCAACGCGGAAAAGAAAAAAGCGGTAAGAAACGCGGAGAGACAACAAAATCGAAAAAAAAACTAAAATATGAAGAAAGAGGGTAAACAGAGGACTCATCACCGTGGAGTTAGACGTTTGCTTGCTACGCGCCAAATCGATACGCAGCCTGCTCCGGATACCTCCCATTTTCTGCTCCGGATACCTCCCATTTTCTGCTCCGGAGACCTCCCATTTGTGCTCCGGACCCCTCCCATTTTCTGCTGCGCGGCTCTTCCAAATCTGGCGGACTCGCGCCGGGCAAATTTCTCCGGCGCGGCTCTGCCAAATCTGGCAGATCCGCGCCGGAGAAATGGCGTACCTTTGCAGCAGGGCGGGAGAAGCGTCCCATTTGCCTGCCAGTGATGTCACCGCGACGGACCGCCCATTTGCCCCGCTCTCATTGGTCAACTGGGTCCGGCGCGACTCTGGCAGATTCGGACTGTCCGGCGGAGGGGTCCGGTCGATTGTCTGAGTTCGGCCTCTTTGTTTCCCTTTCTTGGGCGAACGGCTCTTGATGTCTCAAAATCCTCTTCAATATTCTTACGCTAATTTTGCAACAGTAAAAAAGCGATCAATAATCGCTTTATACTGTAAGTCTAAGTTGATGGCAGCCCGTAGGCCTACATACTGTTGGGACACTTGCAAATCAATCCACAGTTCTCAAGGAGGATAAGTTTTCTTGAAAGGTCAAGAAATTTCACAGTCATCAGAGGGGCACGCTTTTAGGTTCTGTCTCTTCACGTCACCTCTAAACCGCTTCTTCATCTTAAGTTGTACATAAGACTGTCTATTACTGATACTTACTCAAAACAATTTATTTCAGATGTTTTGGTCTCCCATAGGCAGCCTCTCTGGCATAAATTAGTCGAATAGTATTCGAGAATCAAATAATATTTGTGTACTGAATAATATTCCGAATATTATCCAATGATATTCGATATTCGGATATCATTCGATTCGAAAATCTTGCAAAAGAGGAGAGTTTCTAAATTTGTGTTGATAGAGACATGCAAAAATTTGGGGTATATGTCAAGATGAACGATAGCTGGTACCAGTGGCGCGCGGGGTCATGAACTGGCAATAACGTGTTCGCTCGAAGCTCCGCCCTATTGCGGCGGACGAGTTTCTCGGACGATAACGTCAAGTAAAAGTAACTTTGATAGTGAGATAGAAGCTTGCTGCAAGCTGGTTTGAAGCTTGATTATTTACAGAATCTTGCCTTGATTTTTTGTTTCTTTTTTTTTTGACAATCGATGAACAGTTGATATGTTGGTCGTGAAATTCGAGAGATTTGCTGATTTACCTATGAGTGACCGAGTGACTCCTGGATATCCAACTTTGAAGTGTGAAATCAATCTAGAACACCTTAGGCATGATTGTCTGAGTGACCTCACATCTTGACTGGTTCACACGCAATTTCGATTGAGTTACAAATCGATTTTTATTGAGGATAGCAGTTTTTGGAAGCAAAATGAAAGAATTTCGTTATTCAAAGCAGATTCGAAATTATATAAGTGCAGATGATTTTCCTGAAATCTGAGAAAATTTATATGATATGCTTGTTTCGAATTCTCGTCGTAATGAAATCTGTTTTTAGCTATGATTACGGTTTTGAAACTTACTTTTCCGATGAAAGAGATAACGGTGTTAGTCATTTCAGCAGTAATAATAGTACTCGATAAGCTGACTTCTTTTTGAACTAAACTTGAGAGTGCAAAGCACATTCAATATGGTAACAGATGTGAATAGAGGAAATCACTTTTCCAAGCATTTTCGAAACAATTTCCTCACACCTGCAATGAAAAATCATCTTGGACAAGCCTACTAGGAATTAGAAAGAGCTTGCGAACTTCTAATGAAAAATAATCTAAAAACTGATTTTCAGTTTAACTAAAATTTTGAAATCTACTGTTATCCAAATTGCAACCAACTGAATAAGCATGAACAAAGTATTAGAGAGTTTTCCAATAGCTACAATGCATTCCTAGGCTAATTAACAAGGGGGCGGAGCGATCAGCGCACCGCGTACGGTACCCAGCTGGCGGCTGGCACATGCTATCGTTCATCTTGACCGCCACCCAAAAATTTGCAGTCCTGCTTGTACTTCATGTTGAGTGAATTAACAAGAAATGTTTCTTTTTTTTCATGCACTTACATAATTTTCTCCAAGTCGTTAATTTGTACAGATGTGCAGGAACTGTGCTTTTTACAATCACAGAGCCAACAAATTTATTGTTTTCATGTGAGTCTCGCTGAGCTTGACTGATTAATATTTCTAATGCGGATTAGATGTCCCAGAATGTACCTATGCACTGTTTCACCGTTGATACCTCTCTTCGCACGAAGTCTTTCGCGACTCCCGACTTTCACTCTGCAGAGCTGGATTCAGCTTACAAGGAAAGTACATATTTCCGGCGGCCGCGGCCGTTCGCTATGAGATGCGTATCGGCTAAAGCACTTTGAGCTGATTTCAAATTAGCATTCTGTTTCTGCGGAACGCTCTCTGAAGTTATGGAACCCTGGGAATCTGGTTTTTTGGCGTTCCTCAAGTTCGGGGCTGTGCACGTTATCAGTGCAGTGGTGTTGTGGTTAGCATGCTCGCATTGGAGACGAGAAAAACTTGAAACACTTGATAACCTGCATCAGAAAGCAAGCCAAACAACCTAGAACTCCTATGCCATGCCAAACATAGTCGCTGACCCGAAATACTAGTTTGTCCGGAAGTTAATAATGCCGCATTGCATTCTACCTCCACAGAGTGATTACGAAGAAATTGTGAACAGGGCTCGGCACGAGGTGGCTAGTTGAAAATGCAAAAAACGAAGTCCCCCCCTAGAATCCCAAAAAATTACGAAACCCCCTTTGTCATACTACAATAGCTAAACAGAAAGCTTTATTTTGAAAAATGCATGCAAAGTGTGAAAATGAGATCGAATGCTTCGAGATCGAAAGGAGAGTAAGTGAAAAGGCTTCGACGAAGTTACTAGATGTAAACGCGAAAAAAAGCTTCTGTATGGATGGTTTCTTCTAGCGTGACAGCATTACCGGTAAAAAAAGAGTATTTTTCAAAACAACAATGACGACAGAGAGCTAATGGTTACTTTTCACAGACGAGTGATCAAAACTTCCGCTTCTTCACGTGGCTGGGAAGTGACCTAGAGCGAATACTGCTGCTGCCGGTACGCCTTCTCCTTATGCAACTGGAGCGAACTGGCAACGGGCGAAATAGATCTCTCTCGAGGCTTATCTTGCCCATTGCCGCTTCGTTTCAGTCGCGCAAGGCGGCGTAACGGCAGCAGCGGCAATGAAACCCGTCCATCGTGTCATCATCCACGCGTTTCCTGGCATCCTCAGTGTCAGCGTGATGATGTTTCTTGCGGCCTTTTACTCGACCCTGGACAGCATAAAGCTAAAAGGAAAACTTTACCGCTAACGTCAATGAAATGAAGATTCACACTTACCAGCAGTTTAAGAAAGTCTCTCACTAACTCCCAGCCCACAATGAACATCATGAAGTAAAATGCGGGGGGAACGCTTATGCCCCAGTTACTCCCGCCGCTGCTTTCCTTAACTACTTGTTGAAGTGGTATCACGACGTACTATGAAGCTACCTTCTGTCCGCTGATATCTTTGTAGATGTACTGTCCCGAAACCGCGGTTATACCAGATATAAACAGGAGAAAACCATTTTTGACGATGCCACAAACTTTAGCGCTCTGAAAGAATCTTCAAGGCCTCGGGCAGAGTTGACGCGATTTCATCGTCGCGATTCATCGCGACAAGACAACTGTAACAATATTGTTGCATGCCGATCTTGTTGCATTTCGGTTGTGATAGTATTCCAACGTAATCACGACTGATATCACAACCGAAAAAGAAAAAGATCGGCATGCAACGAAATCGTAACACTTCTCGACTTCATCGTCGCGATGAATCGCGACGATGAAATCGCGTCAACTCTAGCCGAGACTGAGAACAAAAGTGATTCTCAGCAGTGAAGATAAAATACACAACGAAAACAAGAAAAAGGCTAAAGATCTACATTGGAAAGCAATGGCTCACCCAGGTGCGTAAGGATACATGACGTCTGGTAGGCGTTCTCGCAAGCCAATAGGAATAGAATCAGCTCTTCTGAAATAGAACTTTGAGAAGAATACAGCCAAGACGCGATAAAAACGATATCAACGCGTGATGAACAAAGAACCGGACGCCATAGCACATCAGTGATTATTTTAGGTCATTTCTAAGGCTTTGGCCATACTTTGCCGGTAACACTTTCAACACTTTCAACACTTTCAACACCGGCACCGGCAACACTTTCAACACTGGCAACACTTTCAACACCGGTAACACGGGCAAAGTATGACCAAAGCCTAAGTGCGAACATGCTTTTAACTTGCATTTCAAAAGAAAGAATGAAGTAACTCTTCGGCGGAACATCATTCCATGCCGATCAACTTGCATTCGGTTGTGATACTTTTCCAGCCCGACATTTCTGAATGTGAAATGAAAATGAACGGGAATCTTGGCGATTAGATCGCGACGATTAAGTCGCGTGAAGTCTGACCGGGGCCTAAGAGAAGGACGAATGCGAAAAACAGTAAGAAAGAGATCAAACAGATCAAACAGAACAAGCAAACACACAGAAGAATGCTTTGAAGAGTGTGCTTTGGCGCCGCGTTGTCGCCAGCGCACTAATGTGCGCTGGAGCAGACTGTGAAATCGCTCCACAAATATTTGGCGACCTATAACTGGAAAGGGAGGAGGGGGTTTGAGACGATTTAGGTTTCCATGGATAAGTAAGGGGATGAAGGATACAATTATGAAAAAAGCTTTGAGAACTTATGTGAAAGAGAAAAAATATATGACTTTTTCTTCATTAAGCCACCTCAGGTGGCTATCCAGGTGGCTTGAAAGCCACCTAATCCCGAAAAAAGTTGGCCACGCCTCTATTTCACATAAGTTTTTCATAAATTTTCATACATAGTTTTCAGTCCCTATTGCCTATCTACACACCTATTTTGGTGCCATTTCATCTTCACTTCGTTGTAAACAAACCCTTTGTTTATTTGCTGGTGGCATGCCGGCAGCGTGCCGGCAGCAGATCGAAAGACAGCGTTATGCTCCTCCGCAAAAACGATATCCCCTTTGCTTTTTTCCCCAAAAACGATATCCAGCTTGCTTTGCAAGCCACCTGTGCCGAGCCCTGATTGTGAATGTGGTACACCTTGACAGCGCAAAGTAAGCTCTACAAGATAGAGTAAAAACCTCCGCGTAAACTTTGTTCCAACTGAAGTGCGAAGTCAAATTTTAGAAATTTCATACCAAAAAATTGTATCTCCGTCCGTAAATGCCTTAGGATCTCCCATTCCGCAGACATGTACCTTAAATATCATAATCATGTGTGCAGTTCGCGAAGTTTTTCCACGGCTAGAACACGAAAGGTTATTCGTCAAATGTGTGAGTATCTCAAGTTTTTTGAGTTGTAAAAAGCTTGATTTTTCTTGAAATCTGGACCATATGGAAAGCTGAAAAAAAAAGCTGAAAGCTGATTTCACGTTTGTACTTCCAAAAATTCATACTACAGAAGCACCTAACGGAGAAAGGCTAAAGATTGTTTTGTCAAAAGTATGTCAGATTTCGTCTTCTCGATTTCTAGCCATGATATGGGGATGAGAAGACCATGAAACTGCTCCTATGAAGGTATGATGTAGAGAGAGGGTGCCTGAGCAAGTTGAGGTTCCTAGGATTTTCCTAGATGGATATCCGAGTTTCTGAAAGTTTTGAGGCCTTCAGTGCCTTTTGAATTTTGGCTCCAAACTTTTAGCTCAAACCTGGCGCGAATTTTCTATCGTCAAGTCATTCGTAACTTAATATGTGAGCCTGCACACAAAGCTTTCAACGGATGTCACATCTAATATTAACTTCTCGATCAAATCTTTTCTATCTTAACAAAGTGTAAAAGTGTATACTACTGAAGAATTAATATCCTTTCAAACCAAAAGGGGCAAAGAAACAAGGCGAAGTCGCTGAAATGAGCAGGTTACAATCTTATAAGTTCGTCAAATAGCGCGTATGTGCATTACGCATATTAAGTTACAAATGACTCGAGCATAGCTTCATTTCAAAGAGCTTGCTTTGTCTATTATCGGTTGGCAAGCCCATTTACTTCTTTTCGTACTCACGCTGCAGCGTATTGCATAACAAAACACGATACGATATTATTTTCTGGACACCTAGTTTGAATTTTTCACTTCACCGTATTGCTTCATTCATAACTCAAGCACAACGTACCATTACAAAAAATGTGATTACTCAGTTAGAAAAACTTTACAAACTTGTATAAGATTAAGCAATGAAGTCAGCATGCTTAAGAGCCCTTTTTACAGCCTTTCAGATCTTCTTGGTCATTTTTTTTCGAATGGCAGCAAATTTGTTAGGTCTTAACGGTCAAACGCTGCGTAGATACATAATTTTAGGATAGTCTGTATTTCAAAGTCGAGTATCATATAGATAAGCTACAAGTCCCACATAGTCGGCTGAAAATGACAATCCAATAATCTACTGCAGGCAGGCCAGAAGCAATACCTGAATTTTTAAATAAGTCATTTTTCAATCGAATATCTCCAATCCTAATTTAAAATGCATACAATTCCCTGCAAAGATTGCTTGGTTTCGCAGAGTTCAAAACAAAAAAGATTGCGAAAGTTGAACAGGGATAGAATCCCACAATGCAATTCTGAGCCAGTATTTTGGCACAAAAGTTCCTTTGTATCACATATGAGTGCAGTAACTGAAGGAGAAGCGAGCTTTCAGGCCAGTTTTTGGACATTCGCACGAATCATAATCCACATAATTGAAACAAAAAATTAAAAAATAATCGACTGCGCCAAGAATCGATCTCTAATTCAAAAAATTTACACGAATCTCAGTTGCTTATTATTGAGGGGACGTCACATTTGCTGCGTTTTTTGCCTGATTTATCTGAGAAAAAAGGCGGCTGTCGAATTTGTTATATATCTAATATATATATATATAAAGTAATGTAGAAGGAGAAATTTATGTTTGTTACGAAAGAGTACAATGAGGGAGTGATTAGTGGTATTAATCCAGAAATGCTTTGGCAGGAGCAAGCCAATTTTCGTAATTTTCGTTTCCTCAATTTCTAGCCATTAAAAAAGAATAGTGTGCGTGAACGTTAGTATGGGCATCATTCTGAATGTAGATAATTGGGGTACTTGAATGTTTTTGGACTTTTTTCAAACCCTAGGTGGATAATTGTGAGGAGAGCGTGCCAACCTTATATTTGGATGCTAGTCAAAGATTTGGTTTTGAATTTAGCTAGAGAAGTCAGAAAAACTGTATCGAAAATACTTTAGGCTTTCTCTGATAGCTATATTTTGCTAGAATATGATACGCATTTACTGAAAAATGAGAAATTTAGCTCACGGCTTCCTGTAGAAGCTATCCTTGTCCTGATTGAAAAAGCTATGAAAGAATGGCCAGTACCGGTTCTGACTCTTTTTCTCCCTAAAGTCTAAAATTGTATAAACAAACCTTTGTAAAAGATAAAAAGTTCAAAAGACTGACTGGTGAATAATTCTGGTCTGAGCTGACGGCAAACACCAAAACACATGCCAAAAGAACGCAACCAAACACTGCTTGAGCACGCTCTTTTTTCTATGGGTTTTCCGCAATTTCATGCTATTTCTTCAAACGACCTATGCTCCTCTTAGTAAAAAAGAATACCGATTGAATAAGAAGGCACTATAACAAAGAAAGCAAAAGAAGCGTAAGTGTCGAGTTGTACAAGCAATGTCTTCAAAATAGGTAATATCGAGTTTTTCTTCTCAATTCTAAGCCCTGTGAAAAATATTACGGCATACATAGCTCTTATTGGTAGCGTAATCTTAAAACTCACACTTACCCAAATCTGGAATCAACTCAAACACTTTTTAAAGGTTTGACTATCCTTACAAAAGGTTAGCCCATCCTTAAAAAATCTTTATAGCTAATCATTCTCTTTCCCCAAATATTCCAAGATGCCACTGTCTGGCTCAGATATCAAACATGATTGTCAAGAAAAAACTCAGAGAGCTGGAGACTTGGAGCTTGAAGTCTTTTGTGCTCCACTGTGTAGTTACAAGAGCTTTCAAACTGTATTCTACTGTCGCCTCGGGTCCTCCCGAAACGCATCGCTTTGGCCAGTCGACGCGTTCGCGAACGTGTCTAGGGCATTGAAACAGTACATCTCGCTTACTTGCTCCAGAGAGACGGCTAGTTACAGGGAAATTGTGGAGGAATGGCGCTCGAACCGCATCGCAGCTGCGCACAAAAGGCATCGGTAATGGAATTTCGTAGTTTTCAAACGTTTTTCGTTATAAACTTCTCAAGTCTCGCTTTCCTCTTTCTATGAAAAGTGCACTTACTTGAAAACAGAATTAACTACAAAGAAAAGAATTTTTTCTTTATTTCTCATGGAGAGAAGTTTGTGTCAGAGAAAGACCAAGGGTGGGGAAAGGAGCGGGGGGGGGGTATACGATTGCCATGGTGCACTTGTTTGACTGTGTTGATTAATGCCGTTTGTTATTTACTTATTTATTTATTTATATTTTAATATACCTGAAGTGTGCCGAAAAAAAAGGAACTCAAACAAATGGGGTACCAGCTAGTCTCAAAACTTTAGATAGATAAAAAAGACATGGAAGAAAACAATTACAAATCAAAACACTGTAGTTCACCAAAATATAAATCAGTATTAGCTTGTCAAATGACACTCGAATTCACAGCATAAGTCCTGAAACTTCGCTTCCTCTAAAAATTGTAGTGCCCTCCTTTTTTGTCAAGCCTGCGGGCGAAGGCTAGCTAACTAAGCCAAAGCCCAAACAAGTTTCATTTTAGAGAAGAGCAAAGTTATTAAACACAGAATTGGGTAATATATTAGGTTGGTGCAAAAGTAATGCGCGTTTTGCGAGTTCTCACTTTGACGTGCTACAACTTTCTAAAAAATTCATATTTTTCAGCGCGACGAAATCCATCAGAGGCACTAAAGCTCTCTCTATCCAGCGCACATCAATTTGTGATAACATCGCAAAACGGTGAAAAAATATCGATTAAAAAGCAAAAAAATTTTTTTCGGAAACCTCGTTTTTAACTGATCATAACTTCCTTCAAGATTTGTTGGTTCAAATAAAAAGTTGACAGTCTTGTAGCCGCAAGCCGGTAGTACAAATAAAAGTTGAAAGGGGCTCAAACAAAGAAGTTCTGAGAAAAGGAAAAAATAATATTTAAAATTGTCCGCTTTTTTCTACATTTTTTCGCGGCCCTCAAAATCCCAAAATATGGAGATTTTTGATTTTCTGTGTACTGAACAGTTTCCACATTTCTGCAAAAACTGTCAACAGGAGGTCCACCCTTACGCTTACAGGAATGAGCAAAACTTTGGCGATTGCCTTCTTCAAAGGAAATCTATGGGCCACAGATGTTCAAAACCATCACTCATGTTGGGGCACCGAAATCTCAGTCTAAATAATTTCTGAGAAAACAGCAAAGCGTGCGTAACGTAGAAAATTTCTACTACATACAGTGATCAAATTTTCAAAGAATGCGTTTACTCGCGCTCAAATTCTGGCCAAAAAAGTAAGTGCAATAAAATTCTGGTTTCAAGTGCGGTTGTATGAAGCTCTATAAATTTTTAATGATTGAGGCTAGAAGCTTGTTTCAACAACCATTGAATAGAGCATGAAATAAGCTTCTTAAAAGTATGCCGTATAAGTTTCATAGAGGAAACTTCGATGGAGAAAAGCTGTTTTGAAATAGGGGCTAGAAAAACGCGCATTACTTTTGCACCAACCTAATACTTTGGAAATTCATTTTAGGACAGGAATCAGTATAATCAATATACAATCATTTTCATTTATCCAGAAAAGAAGAGAAATCTGTGCACAGTGTGGAAATCCAAACAATTTACTTTTGGGGAATAACAATTTTTTCAAATGAAGGGCAGCGGTAGTCACGGTAATGGAGATAGCCACGTCAGGGTCTGTAACTGAAATTTCGAAAAAAAAGTCGTGGTGACAGCAGACCCTGAAGAAAGTTGTCACAGAGATAATTTGAGTTGTAGAAAGTTCAATTTTTGATCGACCTATGTAAGTCATTCCGATCCATTCTCGGATCGAGAGGGGTTGGCTCGCGATATAGACATTGATCTTTCTCTCCCTTCTCCTCCTCCCCCCCCCCTCACTTACATGCATGAAATCATGGAGCACCCCTTCTTTCCGGGTTCTCGTCCCGTTTGTTGAATAATCATCCGGTTGAGAGCGCGGAAATCCGGACTGCGCCGCCGTGCGCTCCGTTTACCCACGCATTCTACGAGCAGCATTTCTTCTATAGTAGTGGGGCTGTACGTGCACACTCACGACTAGTTCTGTGACATGGTAGTCGCCGCGTGTACTTCCTGGCTTACCGCGCAAGAACAAAGTTTCGTTTTTTTTTCTTCGCCCACTGAATGGGTGCCAATGCAATGACTGTTGCACTGCTTGCAAAGAGGAGTTTGAGTTTTTATTCCCCCCCCCCCCCCCCCGGCTCTCTGTCCATTGTAGGAAAAGTGAGGGCCCTGATTTCCGTTCTTGCTTTCTATGAGTATCAATTACAGTAGTCGTCGTCCCATCAACTTTTAGATAATCCCATTATTACTGGCAATTGCACCTCTGAGACTTGCGGAAATATCCTATCTGATTTGAGCCCTAAGAACGCGATTTCTACGAGCCCTATCCTGAAGCGCAGCGACTTTAAATTCCTGGACGGGAGGAGCTTGGTGGGGGGGGGGAGGCTTGGCTTGATGGCACTTTTCACGGGGGTGGGAGAACGAGAAGGCCACCAGTTTGGGCCGCCTTGTCGGAATAATGGTCCTGGAACGACATGCAACAACGTAGCAAAAGGACCAGTTGGCCGCGAAAGGCGGCTCAAACTGGCAGCCTTCGTTCCCCCACCCCTTTCGCGGGTTCCAAATCCATTTTTCCATACAGAGGTCATATTAAAGGACCACTGGATTAACGGGGATATCTTGCATCTTTCTCCTAGGACCTTCTTGTAGACTGCATAGGTACTAATCGCAGGAGCATAGATTTTGCCTGGACGCTGATAACTTGCATGTAATTCTCTCATTTTGTATACACTGCTCAATACATTTTTTCTTTTCAACATAAGTAAATGTAACACAGGAAACCACCAGTCTTTTATAGCCGTCAAAGAGGAACAGACAGAATTTTGTTATCAATTACTTACAGTACATAGCCGCATGCGGTAGTCTGAACAATTTTATTATTAGGCTAATCGGCTGACACCAGCACATATGTACTTGTTGCTTGATGTCAAATTTGAAACATGCTCGAGTAAAATGTTTTCTACAGAATAAACCATGAAATGATGTAAATCTACAGAATAACCTTCAAAGCACATGACTCATTCTGATACATTCATTCCATCAACAACATCGACTACGATATTTGCCGTCTATATTAGTGAGCAAGTTAATCAACACTGGTAAATTTATGCCTTTTGCAGTGTTTATAAAATTCCCATATTTGACTACTTTATTCATCAATAGAAAAGTGAAGTATAGCAGCTAGCAATAAAATTGACATAGGATAAAATTTAATTGTTTTTTTTTATTTTTCGATGGCGTTTTATATCCAACTCTTCGCCGTGAATTTGAAAAAAAACCAAACAAACTATTAAGCATAGATTATGGAACTGTAACGATACACAGTTTCACTCTCAAAGTAAAAGGTTGCCTACAATTTTTTGAAGCTCGTCTTCGCACAAAAATTCGCGAAATCATGTTCAGTGATGCCGCGCATTTTTGAAGTAAAGTAAATCAATGGAGACTCATCTATTTTCTTCAACGCTATTTTAAAACTCATCATGAGAGCTCTAGCAGGATTCCTTAGTTTGCGGCAAGCAGTTCTACAACTTTCGTTTGTAAACATAAAAAGAAACCAGAGACGATGAATAAACAAATGGGCGCCTCAAGACTGAAAGTGAATAAATTTATCGAAATCGGAAGAATAAGAGTACAATGCACCGTTCTATGATACAAACAACATTTTCGTGAAAGCCCGTGTGGGGAAAAAAACGGCAGTTATGCCAGAAAATGCATGAGCAAGTTGCAGTGCTCTGAGCAGTGGAAGGCGCTCAGTAGAAGTAGTTGCTGGCCCGATCGTCAAGGGTGTGAGCAGCTGGCAGATCGAGAGCCACCGGTGGCACCGTCGAGTAGGGTCGTTCGATGACGGACACGGGGCCCGCTCCGTATATGGACGCTGAAAGAAACTCATTCAGAATCAAAGAGATCTCGTAACCTGCGAGTTGAGCACCCTATTTTTACTCAGCTAAGCTTCTTTGTGTTTCTAACGTACTCATGTGCCGCAATATCAAAAACTAGTTTGTGAGTCAGAATAAATTCCACCCACTCCTAACGCCTCAAGTGCAAATCAAGGCTATGATAACATAATCTCAAATGAAAACAGGAGGAAAGATCTTGAAATGCTCCCTGTTCTTACAAAGTCTCCCGTATAATTAATCGACTGGAAATGAGAATTTTTTGCATGGACTTGATAGGTGGACGCAAAAATGTTCCTCTCCCTGAGATATGCCAACAACTTCCCATTGACTTGCTGTAACAAATAAAAGTTGGTGCGATTGCACAAAAAGTGACCGAATAAACTGTAGATCGTTTTGATTGCAACAAGCTTGTGGGACTTTCCATCAGTATAGCAGTGATGCCTCCAGAATTTTTGCTGCCCCGTGACACCGACACGCCCTCGAAAAAACTTCTCTATAAGGCTAATATAAATTTTTTTTCAAAACTTTTCAAAAATGATTACGTATAAACAACTTCCATCTATAACCCCCCTCAGTGCGCCACTACAGTATAGTACGGTTAGAACTACCAATGTTAAATTTCATCTGTGACGGTCGAAAGTAACTGCTGCATGACAAGCCAATCGGATTACTGTCTGTAGATTCTACTATAAAGTTAGTGTTCCTGCGTTGCAAACAATATTTGCGCGAAATAGAAAGTCGCTATAATGCCTTACGGCAACTTTTGCAAATCGCAAGCAAGTTGCTGGCATTCCCAAGAATATATTTGTCTTCGCGCAAATGTTTTAGTCACAGCAGGACCACTAAATCAACCCCCACCAGAATAGAGTTACTTTGGAGGTTGATTTAATATAGTGAAGAAGTGGATGACTTCGAGCCTTTTAAAATTTCTAAGGCCTCTGCAATTCATTTAAGAGTGATCAAACCAGCTGAAGCATCATGATGGATTTACGCGATGAATTTTCTCGAAGTAAGCACATTTCCCAAAACGAAGGAAAAAGCACAGTCAAAGCCAAATAGGAGCGATTCTGTGATATTTTCAGAAGACGATTCATGATTGCTGTCTCACCTGCAGATGACATCATTCGTGCGTCATCCTCGATTTCCTGATCCTTCTGCTTCTTGCGACGATGACTCATTCCGTAGCGAACCATGGCAAGGAGACAGATCGATATGAGAAGAATCGTCATGATGATAGCTACAATGAATCAACATTTTTACTCCTTTCAAACTGGGTAGCATACAAAGTATAGGGAGAAGGCGTGTGAGTTTAGTTACCTAGTATAATCCATCCAACAAGCGAGAGAGCAGTGCCGGTAAGGGGTTGAGGCTCTTCGTTCTCCAAACAGAAGTCAACAGCCCTAAAATCGTTGTACATACTTGTTGCTCTTTGCAGAAGGAACCAAAAGGATCACAGTGCCTTTAGTTGGGCAAAAATAGGGACTTTCAAGAAGCGAGTATACTGATTATCTGAATGCCTTGCAAAATTCAAGTATACATGCGTAGATGAAAAAGTTGACCATTTTTTGCTTGCAAAAAATTTTGAAAGTACACGACAATATCGGATTTTACATTCTTATGATTAGTCGGTTACATAGGAAGTAGTGACTCTGTGACTGCTAGTGAAAGAGGATAGAGAAAACGCTAGTGAGTTTCAAAATTACGCTGAAATTCTTGAAACTAGTAAGAATCAGTTGAGACGAGCTCTTATACCAATTCAAAAAACTTATCACTATTTGAAAGAGATTCAATGGCATGCCGCTTTTTTCTCACCTCTGGCAAAAAAAGTAACCCGAAAGTGGTAAATTTAAGTACTGCTCGCCCAACGCTTCTAGCAAATTCACTATATCGTGATTTTCAGCTAGAACTTACCACACCCTATGACGGAGCAAGCAGTTTGCGATTAAGAAAACAAGGTAAATTTACCTCAAAGGAGTGCCCTCAGCAGGGCAGCCGCTTGGCGATGCAGCGCAAACCGCGAGACATCCTGGTTTTTCGATATCGATGTCGAGATTGTCTCGAAGCAACTGACGGAACCACAGCAAATCATTGTTACAGAACCACGGGTTTCCTAAAACAGGTCGAGCACTTGCCAGTAGAATATATTAACTTTTTTCAAGCACTGATTTGAACATTTTTTTAAACATGCTGTTTATTCTTATCTTACCCATTCGATATTTTCTTTAAACGGAATACGCAATTGTGCACATACGGCCACGTCTTTCTGAGAGTCACTGAGACCAGTTACAGCAAAATTTGGAATTTTTATTGTTTTCTATCAATTCAACACGTCAAGCGTTAAAAACTACTGGGTGAAGTCAATGCACCTTATAGTAAAGAGACAAACACCGCTAGTTTTCAATGTGATGCTGGCCATAGCGGTTGAAATGAAATTTCTGTTTTGAGGATCTGTAACTCCTTTTCGATCATAAACTTGAATTTTACGAATCAAAATTTTGTTTTATGCATAACATTTCAGAAACCCAATTTGAATGTAAAATCGCATAAAATCTTGGAATAAAGGTGAAAGGTAGAACGTTCTAGCGAGTTATTTCCGACCAATTAAAAACATAACTCTTTACAAGAGTTCTAAGGGATCTGTGCAAGAATGATTGAGAATTTTGATGCATTCAACCAGCTGTTGGAAGTTTTAGCATCGTGCCGATAGTCTGACTTAAGACACGAAATAGTAAGCAAAATTATAAGAGACTAGCTGGCTTACCCGGCTCCGCCGTATCCGGACCAAACTTGGCACACATACACTTCGGGCCCCGGCGGGTGTCACAGTCCACTTTTCGTTATCGATCGATGTCGACTTTACCGATTTTTATCGATTTTTTTGCAGAGTTCACCTATAGGGCTAGGAGTTGGCACAGGGGGGTAATCGAGCATGGGGATTCCGAATACAATATTAGTTTTCAGAATTATCGATTACTTTTATTGATTTTATCGATTTTTTGTAAATTTTGACATGCGAGGCTGGGATTTTGCACAGGGGGGTAATCGAGCATGCTGATTACAACACAATATTATTTTTCAGGATCGTCCATTACTTTTATCGATTTTATCGATTTTTTTGTAAAGTTTGACCTGCGGGGCTGGGAGTTTGCACAGGGGGTAATCGAGCACGCAGATTACGAATACAATATTAGTTTTCGAGATCGTCCATTACTTTTATCGATTTTATCGATTTTTTGAAAATTTGAGCTAGGGGCTGGAATTTGGCACAGGGGTGTAATCGAGCATGCTGATCACCCCCCTTGGGGATGATCAGCATGCTCGATTACCCCCCTGTGCCAACTCCCAGCCCCCTAGCTCAAACTTTGCAAAAAAATCGATAAAATCGATAAAAGTAATCGATAATCCCGAAAACCAATATTGTATTCGGAATCCCCATGCTCGATTACCCCCCTGTGCGAACTCCCAGCCCCGTAGCTCAAACTTTGCAAAAAATCGATAAAATCGATAAAAGTAATCGATAATCCTGAAAACCAATATTGTATTCGGAATCCCCATGCTCGATTACCCCCCTGTGCCAACTCCCAGCCCCGTAGCTCAAACTTTGCAAAAAAATCGATAAAATCGATAAAAGTAATCGATAATCCTGAAAACCAATATTGTATTCGGAATCCCCATGCTCGATTACCCCCCTGTGCCAACTCCCAGCCCCGTAGGTGAACTCAGCAAAAAAATCGATAAAAATCGATAAAATCGATATCGATCGATGACGAAAAGTAGCCTATGACACGCGCCGAGGCCCGAAGTGTATGTGTGCCAAGTTTGGTCCGGATCGGTTCAGAAATGGAATTTTCTATTCGGAACATACGTACACACAGACAGACAGACAGACAGACAGACAGACAGACATACAGACAAACAGACATTCAGCTTTATATATAAGATAGCACCTAATTTAGCTTGGCCCTTCGGAAAGAGATATGTAATATACTCCAAATTTCTTTTTACAAATTTCTTTCGAAACCGAATTAAGTTAAGTAGTTTCCCTTGTTAGTGAGTTATATTCTCACTACACCACATCTGCAAAGTTTTTGCGAGCGGAGTGTTTTGCTCTGCTTTACATTCCCTCAAAAAGATCCTTCGTACATCCTGACTTACGCCAGCACTCGATTTTCGTATTTAGCTGTTTTCACCGTCCTTTAGAGGATCGTGAGTCTCTCAAGATGCAAACGGGCGTACATTAGAGTGTCGATCTCGGAAATAATGTCAATTCGCACAGAGTTTACTCTCACTCACCGCAGCAATAGATGACACGTCGATCGTTGGGACGAGGAAGGAAAGAGTTCAGAAAGACATTCTCAGGTAGTGTTTGGAGTTGATTGTAGCTGGAAAAAAAATAAGTAAATGCAGATGTTTGCTCTTATAAGGGAAGTATAAGGGAAGTAGGAAATTACATAAGGGTCTAAGCAGCAAAAATTAGCGGAGGTGCACAAAAACACGTGAAAGTGGATGTGGATTATCAATTTTATATCAGGTATACTGACTATAAGGACAGTTTCAGTGTTTCTAAAGCAACTCAAGCGGAGTTCTACAGTCAGTGGAATTCCGCTAGAGTGTTGCTTTAGAGCTTTTAGCTAATTTTAAGCCACTTGAAACATGACAAATTTAAACCTCCAAACGCTCGTACATTCTTTCGGAAAAATGGCAAAAAAGGAAAGCAGATTTAGAATTAGCGTTTGAAGCGCGTCTACTAATTTTCATCTCTTCTTGATTTGCCAGATAATGTTAGCATCATTCCCTTGTTAGGACAAAAACGGACTGCGATGGATTTTCCAATAGCGAACGATTTCGTGATAAAACAGTCAAATTATAAGGCACACAATGGTAGATAAGAGTGTATCACTTTCTTTCTAATAGTTCAGTGATTCAAAGTAGGTCAAAATTTTTTTTAAAAAAACTTTTCTCTCTGTCACGCAGTAATTATCGCGATGAATTCTTCGCAGAGCGTAAACATCGAATGAAATATTTCATCAATTTGGAAGAGCACCTTCGGATTTCCGGTAAATTAAGAATTCAGATATTGCTCCAAGAAAAACTCTCAAAAAAAGCAAGCGGAGTTAGATTGTTCTCTTGAAAATCGATTCAGGTTTGCCAAAAAATTTCGATAATTTTCATTTTCACATTTTCGTCAGAACTTGTGAATATGCGAGACGCATTTCCTTCGATTCAAAGCTCACTCAGTTCTTCACAAAATAAATTTATTTACAGCAATTAGAAGGATTTGCTCAATGACAACGTCCAAATAAACTCTCGTGATCCAAGAAATCCAATGTCGAAATCCAAACTCTAGATTCAAACTTTGAAATTGGAACCGTGATAATGTGACGCCAAATTTCTCAATTTTCTACTCTAGCCTGCAGAGGAGAAAGAGAAACCTTTTGAGCATATCTTTGCATCGATTCTGTTGCTCAAAAAGTTTACTAGTTTACTACCATAATTTTGGAATTTTTTTCAAATCCTGCACTGTGAGCAGTGCCAAGACGAAGCTCGTTCCCTTTCGACTCAGCAGCGGTTTGACCACTTCAAGCAGGGTGCTTCGTTCGCAAGCCAACGCTCTAATCCTCGAGCAAACACAACGAAGTCTTCAAGCAATCCCAGTGATGTTTTGCTCTGCAGATATTTGCCAGTGACTCACTTTTTCAAGCCGTAAAGCAACATTTGCCAGCGTCTCAACGTTTTCTGAGAGGTGTTTGAATGATTGATAGATTTTAAAAGGAAGAAAGAACGAAAGAATCAAGACTAGAGTGGAACTACAAGATCGTAAAGTGACAACCTTGAAGGATGCAGAAGAAACAGACTAAACTAGCATTGGGAATCTAGTGAATCATAAATCTTAGAGAAGGAGTGAGGACTGGAAAAAAGGCTGCTTCAACAGTGATTCGAAGTGGTAATGGAAAGATCGAACCCGAAGAATTGCATAAAAATGGGATTTGGTCAAAATTGTTGATTTGAAAGAGCGTCCAAGAGCTTTCTATTTCATGTACAGAAATATCTTTTCTCGTTTTGCAGGAGCTGCATGATTTTGAATCTAAAAACTAAGCTTTTGAAGAAGCGAACTTATCTACAAGATTTCAAGGTATCAAATCGAGTTACAAAATTTTGTGGTAATATCAGTAACAATCAATAAAAAATCCGTTGGAACCCAAGCGCTTATCAACAACAATCAAAGCTATTATTGGTTGGTCTCGCACCAATTTTTTTCCTTAATGTTCTTACATTCTTCGAACATCAGCAAAACCGGGAGGGTATTTGAAGATGCTTGCGTTCTTCCACGGAATCCAAAAAAACTGTCAAGAGAAGAATGTGATAAAAAAGATCGAAAACCAGATGTGAGCTCTGAAGAAAGCGTAATCTCCTTTAGAGGCTTCTTCAAGAAGAGATCAGTCCGCTTTTTAGGGAAACAAATTCTCTAAAATTTTTCTAACTGAAAAATTCCCCAAAGCTGAGCTTACCTAATATCTAGATGAGTAAGAGAAGGTAGGTTGGCAAAACCGAGTGGCTGAACGTTTTCGATACGATTTCCTTGCACATCGATTGAGTACAAGTCGTTGAGTCCTTCGAAGAAGTCGGCACGAATTCTGGAATGTCACTAAATCTTTGAAAATTTAGCTAAAAATCTTGCACTTTAAGGCTTTCAATTCGGATCTTCCGATCGATTATCGATTTTTCGCACTTCGCAATTTACAAACTGTAGGCGCGTGCGGACAACGGCTGGTCCGGATTGTTTGCCGGTAGCGGCTTCGACCACCACACCTCATAGCGATCGCATAGCCAGAGCAAATAGTTCTCGCGTGAGGGCTACCAACAAACAAAATACAAAACAGACAGCCACGGGAGTGTAGCGATTGGCCAAGAAACGCGTAACCTACTGTGAGAGGCGATTCTTGTTCAGCACAATCGCCTGGATTTGCGGAGTCCGCTGAAAGGCCCCTCGTTCAATCGTATCGATAGCAGCCTCGGACATTTCCAACCGGATTAGATGCGGGATGTGCTGCAAAAAGAAGCTTTGATCGTGTAGAGCATGAATTGAGAGTTTGAGAGTCCAAACATTTATTTTGAGTGGAGAAGTTTCTCTATACTCCATTTAGTTTTCAGAGCCGAAAATATTGTCACTTCTTTCATCATTTTTTCTAATACAGACACCTACTTGACTTCTCCGCACGAATCGCCACATAATACTACAATAGCTTTCTGCATTTCATACGGATACGTTTCTGTAAGTAAAGCTGCCAAAAAAGCTTAGCGCATTTCGATGTTGTATGAAAAGTTGCTAGAATGCAGCTTTTTTTTACGGGAGTCTTTCAGAAATCCAGATAATTTCACAAGTGTGAATGGTAAATTTCAAGCGCATTTTGCGATTTTCAACTGAGCACTATATTTGCGAGAACGTAATTTTGGTGGGAGGTTCCAGAAAATTAGGCTCTGTAGTTAAAGCTTTAGAAAGTAAAAAAATGTTCAGCGAATTCTGGATGCCCAAATGAAAGAAATGCAGGATATCTCCGTTGGCAGCGTTAGGAGAGAGTTCAGATTCTAAAATAAGCGATTTTCACAGATAAAACGATTTTTGGAAACCGCTGGGCGGACTCCCGAATCATGGCTTCGAAATATTTGTGGGGGCAATTTTCACCAAATTGTCAGTATGACCAGTGCTAGCAGCCTGAACATACCTTTCGAGAATGAGCTTACCATGAATGCGTTGTTTGGAATGACTGAGATCGGAGTCTCTCCGATACCAAGCGTTCTCAGTTGTGTTATGTATCGAAACATCTCCGGAGCCCATGATGGGAATTTGTTGCCTGTCAGATACAAGTACTGCAAATTCGGCACGCCCTGAAATAGTTTTTGGGTTAATTCCTTGAAAAATTAAGAAATGAAATTTTATACCTGGAAAGCTTGAGGAGGAATGACCGTAATGCCATTGAATTCAAGAGAAAGCGATGTTAGATTCGGAAAGTCTAATGCACCAACTGGAACCTAAATGAAGCCATCAGAACTCGGAGCTGCCTGAGGACTATCAAAAGGTAGAACGCTAAATGCACCTCATTGATGTTATTCAAACCGAGGTTGAGATTGGTAAGGGTTCCTCGCTGGTTTACCAGGGCAGCCGAAGGAATCGAGGTCAGCGCATTTGTCTCCAGGGAAAGTTCCTGCAATGCAGTGAAGATATCTCTTCAGAATGACCTTGTCTACAATAATCCGTTTCCAAAGGATCTCGAAAAAAGAAACTAGCATTTCCATGATTTGCGAAAACTACGTGTGGTACTGTAATTACGCATAAACCTCACTCATCCATACAGCTACGATATATGACAGGTTGGCACATAAGTTTTGCAACTCATTATTAGTCCATGACTTTTCTCTTCTTGGATGTAACGCTTTCATTTTTTGATATAATGTAGAATGGTAGTGAGCTACAACGCAAACCGTTTTATTTATGGTGGCGAAGTAGGGAAATTTTGCACATTTTCCGAAAGCTGGATTGAATCAGAAGTTTCACCTGCTGAAAACAAAGACTAAGTCGTTCTCAGCCTGCATCACAAGCTCGAGCCAAAACTATACACAGATTATCAAAGTTTATGTAGCAACCATCTTTGTACATTTTCCTCTTGATACGTTTGTTGCAGGCTAAAAATGGCTTTTTTGTTTTTGACACTAAAATTTTTGATTTGAACAGCTTTCGTGAAAATGAACAATATTTCGCCCTTCGCCATCAGAAACGGAACATTTTAAGCAGCTTCGTAGCTCAGTCTTCAACTTTCGTTTATTCGAAAAAATGAGAGCGCTGCAGTCAAGAAGAAAAGTCATGAAACAAGCTGCAAAATTTATGTGCCAAACTATTAAGTCCTACAGTATGACGGGTTTGACTCATTATAAGAACTTGTGGCTTTTGAAGTAAGGCAGTAAGTCTAAGCGTATAACAATGGTTAACCTTTTCTGGTATTCCTGACAACACCTGCTAAAACAGGATTTAAATAGAACTGAATTAGAATAGAATTTGTGTTCAAATGTTGTAGCAGCGGGAAATCATCATATCGACCTAAGAGCAAACATTCTGGTGTAATCAACTGCAGAATATCAAAATTCCACAAAGTTCACTACCCTAGCGTACTGAAGCCTTTGCATCCAGGTAACTTTCAAAAACTCGCAGAGAACCTGATTTCTATTAGCTTGGAGTGAAAAACTTTGTGCAGTTTGTAGAGCTGTTTTAACGGAGTGATCAAATATTGGAAAAGGTCAAGAAAGACGATGGCAGTATTTAAGCGTATTTGAACTTACACTAAAAAATTTCACTTTTGATAGAAGATTTTGGTCACTTCAACCTTGAACATCCTTCTGATGCAAAATTCATTTACACGGAAGTAACTCGTTTGAGTAAGCACGTAATTTCAGACATAAAAAGTGATGAGTGATTAGTTCTAGAACCGCAGATTGAGCTAGCTGCTAACCTCAAGGTGGTGGTTTGGGTATCCTTAGTGACATCCTAATAGAAAATTCACCTAGATTCATCTACATCTTTGATAATTTCAATTATTTTCCCGCACCATCACATTTACACAATTCCATTAATTACACATTTTCCTTCCACCAAACAAAGTCCATTACTCTGCATAATTTTTAGCGCTTTCCTACGCTAAACGCTCTCCACTCTCTCATGCGCAAGAGACAGTTTGAACAAGCGGAACGCTGCTAGAAGAGGAGTGAGCCTAGTGGTAGCTGGCTTGTTGACATAGCTGGAGGGAGCTGCGCAGAACGGGTGCATGCTTTAGAAATAGCGGAGCCTAAAATTACAAGATTCAAGGGTTTTGCGGGAATTTTGACGGTTTCCCAAAGGGGGACGAATATTTCTTGAGATAGCAAATTATCGCGAATCAAAAAGATCAAGAGAGCATGAGCCAAACCTGCAGCAGTCGTAGCGGTCGAAACACTGCTGTGTCAGTGAGAGACTGATCTGTGAGGCGATTCCCAGCCAGTGAAAGCTTGATAAGCAGATCTCTGCTTTCGTAATTGGCGAACGCATTAGATGCAAGGGTGTTGATTCGATTTCTGTTCAGGTAGAGCTTTCTGAGATTACGAAGCCTTGTGAGGCCGGTTTGTGGAATTTGTCCGAGATTATTGTCGTTGAGGTCGAGTTCGACCAGCGAGTCTAGGAGTGCTCCGTTGAATGCTTGATCGTCTATCGACTGCAGTGTGTTACGGTTGAGCACCAATCGAAGGATGGTGAAGCCCTAAAAGAGAATTCAAGTTGACTGGAGAACAAATGAAATTTTAAAATCACCAGCAATTAGTATAGGGCCAGGAAAGTTATTCAATAAGATGATAAATCTCTTCACCCTATCCCTCTGTGGATTTTAAATGACACTTATTAGAGCTTTATCAAAGAAAAAATTAACACCTATCTGTATAGATTTACGGTGTGCAAAATCTTTCCAAAAATATTAATCACATTTTATAAAAGGCCGAGCGAGGCTTACTTGCATCAGTTTCAAAGTATTATATAACTAAAAATCTGCGAATGATTTTCTTCTCTGTACCGACCTACTTTTACTGAGTTTTCCCTCAGCCAAACTGTGAAGGCCATTAAGTAAAAGCAAGCCGATTAGCAAACTAGCATTTTTAGGAATTTTATGCTTTACAGTCGCCAGTTGTAAAAATTTCTCTCTCTCTCTTTCTCGAATACAGCGTTACGAATTACTAATTTTTGGTAAACTCAAAAAGTGGGTGGGTAAATATAAGTTTCGACATCGAATTCCTGCTCATATCGATGACAGTACAAACATTTGCCTTTGACACTATACCTCTTCCCTATCGGAGGATATATAGAGGAGTTATTCCTGGTTATCATTTTATTTAATTTATCTTAACAATGAAGTTTCATAACTAGAGCCAAAGTTCTCGAGAAAAAAGATAAACTTAAAGAAGCTATACGAAAGCGGTTGACTGAAGTTACAACAAAGCACTTGGATAATCTTGCCTTGGAATTTGCAAAGAAGATGCAAAGTTCATTTGAGATCATTGAGATTTTCTGAGTTTCGGGTATTAAGCATATTCGAAAAAAAAAACCATGAAGAAAAAGAAATCACCGCGAAGGCATTAGCGGGCAGGTTGGGAATGGCAGTATCCAGTATTGTGAGTGAATCGATCTGTAAGAAAAACATTGCGTGAGCGAGGTACGGTAGTGCAGAGGGCACACAAACTGACGGAGACATTCCTGGCTGGTTGTATAGACTGCAGAGCATTGCTGAGACTACCGGCGTTTTCGCAGATGATCGCCACTGGCTCGTAGATCGACGGTGCGCACCGGCACGGTCCGCTAATGGCCGGACACTGTGCGCTTACTAGACTAATAGACGTGAACGAGAGAAACGAAACTAGCAATACCGTGCGCACACGTCGCAGCATCGTGCGCAAGTGCAGCTCCGCGACGGGGCGGCGCCAGTGCACGCGCGCGCAAGAAGCGGAACAGGCAGCGGCAGCGGCGGGACTGGATCGTGTGCAAGAACATGGCTCCATCGTCAGAACCACGGATTAGCACCGCTGGACCCCCACTTCCGCAACAGATTAGTGCTCGGAATCTACACATCCCGACTCATCACTATGACCGGAACTAGAGTACGTCCCGCAGTTGTGTCAGACGCAAAACTTCACTGCGGTTGACATAAACACAATCAACGTAACTACGTGATACTCATAATCTGAGACACTGGCGGCGCTATGCGTCGCAGACGGTTCTGCCAAATCCTGCTCGTTCTTATACAGTTTGATTCAACTGAAATGGCGGCTAAAAGGCGGGGCTTTGTGACCTAGTTAAGAGGTAATTCAGGGAATACGAGCACGAGAGAGACGCAGACTGCGTCGCGGGCGCGAGCGGCCTTAATCAGGTCACAAAGCCACGCCTTCCAGCCGCCAATCCAGTTGAATCAAAAGTTGCTACGGCTTGTTTTTTTTTTGAAAAACGATGCACAGTCGCCCGATTCACGTGGCATCACCGTGCGTGGCCATATTACGTTTCAGAGTGGACGAAATTCTTAATCTAAGGGTACCATTCGGCTTAGCTTGGCACGACGCATCTTCTGCTATACAGAATTAACAGAAATACCCGCTTGGACACATTAGGAGGTCACATTCAACGATGGTGTATGCTTACGGTAGGTTGCCCAGTGAGTGCAAATGAAGAAGCACACTGAGTAAGCAAAACTGAAACGATTCGTGGAAACTAGCCTCTTACAGTGTCCAAACAGGCACTTCTATTTATCATAAGCGCCCAGGGGGGGGGGGGCACGCGGAAGGCGACAATCGACGAAAAATGGAGGCAGTGTATCATCCGTTTCAATGACTTTCACGGATTTCTACTTTTGGCATTGAGTAATGTATCTGCCCCCACACCCCACCCCCCGTAGTTCCCAGGTTGTCACGCTGACACCGGAGAGTTTCTGATAGGCACAAAACTGGGGATTGTCGCCTTCCGCACCATACCCTGCGCCCCGTCGAACTGACAGAAAAGTGGGACAAATGGTGCCTTTGAATCAAGAGATCGTTCGCTCTGAAAGAAGATATGGTCACTCTACGGTGATGTCGCATGAATCGGGCAGCTGTGCGTCGTCTTTTCAAAAAATACAAGCGGTATTGCACTTCTTCTTGGAAGCTATTAGGTTGGTAAAAAAGTTCTCGGATATTTTCAGAAAAGATCTGCTATTTCTCGAAACCTATTGCTTATACATCAGATAGAGGTACCATTCGATTGAGCAAAGCAAGCTCTACAAGATGGTATGCTAAAATTCGCACCAGCTTCGACCCACCGCAAGTTTGCACCCAAAATTTGAGTCGTACCGAAATTCAAAAAATCGCGAAAAATTCATATCTTTGTTCAAACAAATCCTACGGATCTCCAACTTGCTCATAAAAATTGCGGACCACATCAGATACTCATATGCACAGTTCCTGTATTTATTCCTCAATTAGAAATCGAGAAAATGAAAATTTTCGTGTTCATGCAAAAACGAAGCTACGCTGTCCCACTCATGTAGCTGTATAGTACAAGCCCTTAAAAGTATAACCGTGAATTTTCAGTTCTCTACAGGCCCTAGTTCCCGAAAATTACCGAGTTGAGCGCTCCTCACTTGGGCGTTCCATGCCAAAATCAATATTTTTCGACAACTGGGGCTTACGGAAAGCTGAAAATTTACGGTTATGCTTTTAAGGGCTTGTACTATTCAATTGCATAGGTGGAAACAGCACAGCTTCGTATTTATACAAGCACGAAAATTTTCGTTTTCTCGATTTTTAGATGAGAAAAAACTACAAGAACGGTGCTTATGAGTGTCTGATGTTGTCCGCAATTTTTGTGAGCAAGTTAGAGATTCGTAGGATTTGTTTGAACAAAGATATGAATGTTTCGCGATTTTTTGAATTTCGGTACGACTCAAATTTTGGGTGCAAACTTACGGTGGGTCGAAGCTGGTGCAAACTTTTGCATACCATCTTGTAGAGCTTGCTTTGCTCTATCGAATGGTACCTCTACTTGATGTATATGCGTTAGGTTTCGAGAAATAGCAGATCTTTTCTGAATATGTCCGAGAACTTTCTTACCAACCTAATAATTTTGGAGAAAAATTGTTTCATATGACTCCATGTTCGATTGTCGATAAATCTTTTCAACATTTTAGTTGCATAAAGAGGGCTTGGTTTGCAACCAGTAAGGCGCCGTAGGTGGTCTCTTCACACTGTCTATCAAAGGCTACCAAGGTAAGTATCAGCTTAATGCTTGTCTCTCCTGTCATTTTAGCTTATACTGTCAAAGTTTTTTGTATACTTATGTGGCGCTTGAGGTACAGATTTAATACTATCCTTTGCAGACTCTAAGAAACCATTGTCGCTGAAATCACAAGAGCTAAGTAAAGATTGTTACCAGTCCTGACTATACCTCAAGAAACGCTTTTGAGACATTTTTCATGAATGCCGCTTGCAAAGTTAAAAGCCTGTTTTCTCCAGTATGCATGCTTTTCTTTTCATGGAGCTTTGTTCATTTTGCGGCACCGTACCGTGAAAAGGCAACAAAGGAGATGCGAATCCCTTTTTCATTTCCATAAAATCCATAAGCGGAAAAGAAACTATTGCAAATATAATGTCTGATGGGGTTCGTGCTACAGAATGTCCATCGGGGTATAGTATTCGAAAGATAATGAACCTATGTTTTCAGCACAAAACAAGGGTTTGAGCCCTTATGATAACAAAAAGTCATCAAAAATGAAGAAATTCGATTGTAGCGAAAAGATGCATTTTTGCCGCCTAGAAAGCGAACTGGGTGGTCTTCGATTTTTTGCACGATTTCCTAGAGAGAAATTAAACAAAAACGATCTCAGCATGAGTGCTTAGACGTCCAGGCTATATAATGAGCAAAGCTCGGAGTATTTTACGTGGCGGTCCCAGCATTTCAGTCGAGGGGAGGGGGGGGGGGCAGGGCTTGGCAAGTCGATTTCTAAAGTTTCCGAAAACGAAGTCCCCCTGACTTTCGAAAAATTCACGAAATCCACTTTGACCCTCGCAAAAAACCCATCGACTTAGGAGAAGATGAAAATAGAAAAGAGTCACTAGTCTGTAGAGGAAGATTTTAAGGATGAAAATACAAAGTGAAGTTGAATGCAGCGGACGCGCAAGTTTGGCATTGGAGCGTGATATCTACAAAGCGATTTATGAAGAAATTTGAGGCAAAAACAATGAAAAGGCGACTATATAAGATGTTTCCATTTGAGGATAGATTCTTGACCAGGACATGCTCCTGATAATCCGAAACTTATGTGAAGTAATAGAGATGTACGGTCCATAGGATCTCAGAACGTATGGTGACCGTTTGAAAACGGACTAATTCTGGAAAGGGTGCTAGTTCACATAAGTTTTCAGAAACCGTTACTGTTATTTTATTATCTCAAAAACCCTAGTTATGGTTTCTAAAGTGAGGGTAAAAGGAACATTTGGCAATGAAATCTTGCTCGTTGTCGCTGCAAGTGAATAAAACACGTGAAATACTGTCAGAAATTAACAAGGCATTACACTCGCAAAGATATTCCCGAACAGGGTTATGTCAATTCACAGTTGAGTCAAGTAGGGGTAGGACTTTAAGCACACACATAATTGCTTGATTTCGTCTTAATTGCTTTTTGGCTTACATTTGCTAGCATTTCAATAATCAAAATGATATATCAGCTCCAAATGACACCGTTCTGTCACATTTGCGGGCCCCCTGACTATGCCGAGCTTTAATACTATATCGAGAGGAAGGATCACCAACGACTTAATCAGCGATCTTTTTGCAATAAGGGAAGTTCGAAAAGCATGTCTTATCACTCATTTTTTCGCAACTATACCACCTTGCAGTGTCGGAAGGAGGGAAGGGAAACGGTGAGGGACGCTTCTCCCTTCAAGAATGTGTCGCGAAATTTTTACAAGGGGCTTACATGTGGTATAAAATTGCGCAAGTGCCGGAGGATTTCTGTCGCATTCCATCCCTCCTTCCTTCCCCTTCCGAACAATTTCTCTGTGCCGCCTTGTAAAAACAATTTAATCAAAATAATGAAGCCATAATCGCTAGACTCGTTGATGCTCTATACGATCCATGCTGACATTTTCATAGCAACAATGTCGGGGTAAAACATCGCCTTTTCCTCACCCACCTCCGCGATCCCCATTATTCCCTCCTTCTGCGATCCTATCCAACATTTATATTTTCCTCCACACAAAAGGCTGTTATCAACCTCGTTTCTCCTTCAGTGTCGAAGTCATAAACGTTAAATTGCATCTTCTACCTCAGTAAAATTATGTGCTTTGATATTGCATTTAACTCTCAGAGTAGTGTATTCATCCCCTATCGCGAGTTTAGTAAGTTGCTTTCGATCATATCAATAGATATCTCTTGACTGGTTTCATGAATTGTGTGGTAAATCTAACGACATTGTTTACCAACGACTTTTGAAGTTTTGAATCAGGTTTCAAACAAATATGTGCCATACTCAAGATCAGATTACCTTTCCCGTATTCAAAACTCAATAGATCAAAAAATAAGCTATTTTCTCAGCTGCCCAACTCACTACGAAACAATAAAAGAAAGTTGGTAAGGACAAACACACCTCTCTCATTTGCCCACATCAGTGGCGTACCGAGGGGGGGCGGGGGGGGGGGCGCGCGCCCCCCCCCCCCCCCCCCCGAGAACGGGTCGCGAAATTTTTGAAAGTTACTTACATGGGTCATAAAAATGTGCAAGTGACTTGTTTTTACTTATAAATAATTAAAATAATTTTTAAAATTTTTTAAAAATTCATTTTAGCCTTATAAGAAATTTTTTTTCGGGGGCGTGGCTGACGCCACGCCCCCTTTTTCCAGATTTTAGGGGTCGGGGACCCCGAAAAATTTTGAGAAGCACCCCAAAAATTTTTTCGGAGTGCGTGGCTAACGCCACGCACCATCTTTAGAAAAAAAATTTTGTCGCGCCCCCCCCCCCGAGCCGAAATCCTGGGTACGCCACTGGCCCACATATATGTGGGCAAATGAGAGAGGGGTCTTTCCAAACAGAATGTCAAGGAGCTTTTTGGATGTCTCGCTTATCCTAAGAAAGGCCAACAAAAGTCACGTCATTTTACTCAAAGTGGCAATCATATCCCTCATTATGAAGAGAAGGCGGAAGCGCTAAAAATCACATTGCAAAGTTTTTTTAATTACAAAAATTACAATTGGGTATCCCACAATCAGCTTTGGTTATTTGAGTATCTGCCAGTAATTTGAGTTTTGCTGTCCCTCCATCTAATGTGTGTTGAATAAATTTGTTGTGTTGAATAAATTAAAGGAAACAAGCAGCGCTTCTGACGATGGTATTCTTCAACTCGTACATCGAAAGTGTGCAAGTTTAATGAACCAGGTGATTCTTTGTGCAGAGTGGGCATGATTTTCGTCCTGATGGTTCTGCTGCTTTCCTGCTTATCGTTAGGACCTCGCGGACAGATGGAGGTTTTGCTATTTTCCAGTATGGACGGGTGAGATAGATGGATTGTCAATGATGGCGCGCATAGAAATAGGTGTTTGTTTTTTTTTTGTGGTTTTTCCGAGGACGCAGACTCCATCTGAATATTTCCGGAGTTGGCAGTGCACTTCTTTTCTTTGATTTACTACAGTCCTTGTAGCATTTTTCAAAATCGTCGGTTTCGGAGTCGGATTAGCGTTCTGTCGGCCGATATGGTGACGTTGAGGAACGCGGTAGCGAGCTTCGGTGGAAGCACATCTAAAAAGAAGCTTAAGAGTTGTGATCTTCAACATGTCTCACATTAATGGTTGTAGCAATGAACGTTTTTCTTCATGTTAGTACGGAATGGACGATGGTTGTTCAGCGGCCGGCGCTAATTGCGGAGGGCACGCGCGGTCGCGGCGCGCTACTTTCGAAAGTAGAGGTCATGAGGTCATCACTGCATATAACGCCGAGGCGTCATTTATTCGAGGTCGTCACTCGCTCGCGGCGGTCTCTTTTCTGCTTTTCTTCTACGTGTGTCCATTATAGCTCTGCTTTTGTGACTTTCCTTAGTTTGATTGAAATCCTGTGTTTTTGAAGCGTTGCCTCAGGAGAAGTGTGATTTTCTAATTTTTGTCCGCAATTTTTCTTTATGATGGAATTTTACGGCGAACTGTGCACTTATCTTCGACTTCGTTGTTGATGTATGTTTCCTCTCCTCAATTCCTTCTGAAATTCTTCCGGAACCCCTTTGTTTTTATGCAGGATTGCGAGTTGATTTTTTCACCCTTCTTCGAATACCTTTCGAAGGTTTTTTTTGTGGTGATGAGGCCTGATCAATCAATATCGTAATCTCTTTTGAGTAATGTTGTTGTTGTGATTGTGAGTTCGGCCTTCCTTACGGGTGTCGAATTGTTCCTTTTTTTTTCAGAATGTCATCTGTGGCGTCATCGTCGCCGTCGCTCGGGGCTGGAAGTTATCTACCAAAGCTTCGCCCCTGCATGGGATGAAGAGGAGGGAAAGCCTCCTGCAAGTGTCCCACCGGAGGGGATGTGATAAGAAGTTTTTCTCTCGTGTCTCTTTTTTGGAGTTGTTAACCTGTCTCCTGTCTGCTTTTGATGTTGTTGTTGTCGAGTATAGTTTAGGGTAATAGTGCAGCTGGCAATAACGGTGGTTCAAGGCTGGCATTAGGAAAAGGTGAAAGTGATCTGGAACTAGTGTAGTAGTTTGGGTGAAAGAGGAGGCGCTACCACATGATTACACACGATCGAAGGAGCAGTTGTTTTATGTGGAAGCTTTAAGAGGTTTTTTCTCTTGTGTAGCAGACTTAGGCGGTTTGTTGATTGTCCCCACGATTTCGCCGAATGGTTCACAATTTGCGAACTGCGTATATGTTGCGTGGACTACTGGTACTAATCCATCAAAAGAACAGGCCGCTAGATTGTAAATTGTAGCGCAGCTAATCCGGCGAAAAAGAAAGTAGAGATTGTGGATGCTGCTCTGCTGTAAATCCATTACAAAATAACTTGTACAAAGAGAAAACTTTGTTTTACACCTGGGTAATTGGGTGTTCAATCCTCATCGGAATACACTCCATTAAAATGGGGCTCCCACTCATCTAACTCTTCGTCCTAAGTTTCCGGTGTTTCTGGAGCGGCTCGATGAGGGATATACCATGGTTATGGTAGAAGCCTCTCCCAAAGATTGAGGTGCGGTGCCACTGGCCTGTGCGGTTGAGGTAGCCGCGCATATACTCAGATAATCACCGGGGACAAGCGGTCCGCAAACTCGCGCTCTTCTGCAAGCGGTCAGCAGATTTTTGGGGCGTGGCTAAACCTTCAGCGAGCGGTCCTTCCTTTACTGTCTAATGTTCTGCCAGCGGGCAGCAACATAGAATTTTCTGCAGGCGCTCGTCAAATAATCTCTTTCAGCGAGCGCTAATCAAATTTTCAGCTGGCGCTCGGACGGTTTTCAAGCATTTTCGGGCTTACGCCGAGCAAAGGCGAGACTCTACATGGCAGAGGTGTCATCGATGGTTTAATTACTCAAGTTTGAGGTACTTTCTCTCAGCGGAAAGTACCTGGGGGCTGCGCGGTCTTCCACA